TCGTAACACATACACACACAAATTATATATATATATATATATATATATATGGCGGTAATACCGCATACCGCGCTATTGAGCCACTCAAAATTACCGCAAGGGAAATTCCCTCACCGCGACAGCCCTAGCCGGAGCCCTTAAAGCCTCTCTTTCATTGATAAGCGCCTCTCATTTTAGAAGAAGATTGGTGCATGTTTAGTTTCCAAATGCATGTTAAAGTGACTCAGCAGATGGAGTTCATGTGGATCATTTACATTGAACTGAGACGCTGAAAACACCGGCGGATCATGAGCTGCTGATGTGTAAATAAAAACAGTGCTGCGCTTCACTCAGAAATACACGTGTATGATTTGATAATCACACCAAGCCATATCGCGTTTTCAGTTTTCTTTTGATTAGTCGTGCAGCTCTAGTTAAACAAGCGCTGTATTAACACTGTATCAGCTGATAACAGACTTGCATTCAGTGTTGTGGTTTTTGCATTGCACACTGAGTCCGAAATTTTCGCACAACGTATCTATAAAATTGCCATAAAACGTCCTACTTTTATTTGAGATGCAAACTAAAGATATGAGGTCTTGTTTTCTGAGACTCTGAACAAAATTAAGTGATAAATATATCTGTCAGTGTGGAAACCCTGTCTATGTTTTCCCTTTTGCGGATTAAAATGGAAATATCCTTAGGAATCGGAAGTATAGTCAAAATGTTGTTTTGCGGTTATGTGATTTAGTGAAATTCATTGTTCAAAACAAATGATCACCTAGAGAAATTTCTGTGTACTTTATGCATTCCAGAGCATTTTATTGATCAAAATATGTCGCGATGTGTTTTCAAATCACAGGAATGATGGAACAGAATTCGGTGGCTCCATTTACCAGAAAGTGAACGATAACCTGGAGACGGCGGTCAACCTGGCCTGGACCACTGGCAACAGCAACACCCGCTTTGGCATCGCGGCCAAGTATCAGATCGATGCCGATGCTTCCTTCTCGGTACGTGTGAAGTTAGCATTGCCACTTTTATTTATTTATTTATTTTTTGCAACATTTTTCACTGATCAAGGCAGTCATTTTTTGGCACCTCCTGGCATAATGATGACCGGTTGCACCAAACCTTTATATTTGTACATATGAAATTAACAAGAGTGAATGTCACGCTTTCACAGTGTGATGTAGCCTAGCAGAATGCAATCAGAATTGAACCCGAAATTCAAGATGCCCTATGTAAGTGGTAACCCTTTCTATGAAACCAGTATTTATTATACATTATAAGGGTATTCTTAATCCATGCATAATGCCTTATTACAGCCTTATAATATGTTGTATCATCTGATAAATAATCATAGCAACAGTTACAATGTAACATTATAATACGTACTTATTTGTGATGCATTGTAACATGATGCACAATAATATGATGCATTGAAACACCAGGTAAAGCCTGCCTTTATAATGCATCATAAAGGGTATTCTTCATGCATTATAATGCACACTAATAAAAAAACCTTGTAATGTGTCATCTCATGAATAATCATAACAACAGTAATACATGTAATGCACATTTAAACAGAATCCGATTCAGATTGCAACATTTAGGGTTCATTTAAGCAGAACCTTCAGAATCTGAAATTGGATTGGATTCATTCCGATCAGCACATCAATGCCCGTAAACATACCTAGTGTGAATGTAGCCTAAAAATGACAAGAGTCTGGATGAGATGATGTGAAGCATGCTCTGTTATGAAAAGCCAGGTCTCTTCATGATGTTCAGCTGCTCATTAAATATAAGCCCATGCTATCTGAAGGACCTGCATTCTAGTGCTATTATATTTGTCTTCAGTGACTTTTGCAGTCAAACATGTTTTGTCTGTCGTACAGGCCAAAGTGAATAACTCTAGCCTCGTCGGCCTGGGATATACTCAGACCTTGAAGCCTGGTGAGTATGTGTAGATGTGAGTTTATTAAACCTGTTGCAAATGCCTATTCCTCTGCTCCTGCCCGACCGCTATCCTGCAGAGTTTAGCTGAACATGCTTCGTGGATTGCTGGAAGCTTCTGAGAAAGTGTGTTTGGGAAGTTTGGGGCTACATTCACAGTAACCTGGAGACATTTTGACTTTTGTCCACACTGAGACATTTTTGTCCTGCTTTTTAAAGAAGCTTTCTCAAGTGGGTAGCTTTGAATAGTCTGTTTTCGTGTGGTAGTTTGGACTGTGAAAAATAAAGTGTTTAAAATTAAGTCATATGACATATTGTACCTATAGATATCCATGGTTGTATTGTTGTGCCTGATGTTCACTTTCATAGTGCTGATAAAGATAAATGTTACAATTGCATATTACATTCAATTATAATCATTACATTCCAATGACGATCTTACTGTTACAATTAGGGATGCACGATATTGGATTTTTGCCGATATCTGATATGCCGATATTTTTCATTTTGGCCGATAGCCGATACCAATACATTTCCTTCTACTGTTACTGTTGACTCTATCACACACCAAACGCGTCATTCTGTACGTGCTTTCTCAGTTTAAATGCAGCGATCCAAAACAGAGAATCTAATCATAATTCAGGCAAAACTTTGCTTCAAGAATGAGCCTCACTGTTGACGTGATCTAATCGCTAGCACACCCTGAGCACATGTGAGTTAATGTATTCCTCTTATCGGCAAGACATATCGGCATAATTTTTCATATCGGGCCGATGCCGATATTTACATGTAAAGCCATTATCGGCCGATTCCGATATTGGTCCGATAATATCGTGCATCCCTAGTTACAATTGCATATACATAGCAATTCCAAGTGAATATTCTGCCTTTTTTGCAATCACGCCGCAAAAGGTGGCAGTTGCATTTTAGACCATGCATTACCGGTCTATTTTCATTATTATATCTTTTATGTTTTTGAAAGAAGTCTCTACTGCTCTCCAAGGCTGCGTTAATTTGATCAAAAATAGAGTAAAACTGTAATATTGTGAAATATTATAGCATTTTAAAATTAAGTTTTTCATGTACATGACTGGTCAAAAGTT